ATGAACAAAACTCAATGAAATTTTCAACGCTTGTTAAATTTGTCATTTCAAATAAGAATATGCAAAAAAAAAATTGAAAAGGTCAAAGGGCATCCCGCAATTCCCAAAAATAGGAATGAAAATCCCAAAAATGGGATTTTTTACTTTTTTGCCCATAGGATCCACATTTCTTTCAGGGCTGGGAAAATACTTTTGGAGTAAATAGAAAACATATTGAGGTTTCCAAAACTGCTTTCAGTTTTCTGATCCCAGCTTTGGGATTTTAGAACATGTCGCCCAAAGTTGAAGTTTTGATAAAAAATAGGTCATATTCGGAAGGACGCAGTGGCAACATTTTCAAAAAATAGGACAAGTTTTTTACGCCAAAGCGTTCTGCGTAAAGATACCTTTTAGAAAACTATAAAATTGTTATATGTTCTTAATAAAAATTTTATTTTATTAATAAAAGAGTTAAGACACATTTTTGGCAAAAAAACGCCAAAAATCTAAAATTTGGATTGGATTGGATATTTTGTTGTCTAACTAACAAGAAAAAATTGAGTCCATTTGGTCCAAAATTACGCCCGGTATTCAAAAAAAGGCGGACCAAGGTATGGTAAATTTTGTATCACTAAATTTTTAAATGCCTATAACTCGGATATTATAAGAGATAAGTAGTATGTCCAAGCATATTTTTTCAAGATCTCGTCGAGCGCTTTCACAAAATATAAAAATCTTTGTATTTGGGTGAAAAACAAAAAAATGGCACGAGTTTAAAAATTTTACATGTCGTAGGTACCCTACTTTGAGCCGCCACAGCGCCGTCCCTGGGGCATCTGCAGGGTTCATCTTCAAAACTTAAACTCGAATACTCCTTGGCTACGCTCACGCCAAATTTTATCCCGATCGGATCAGCCGTTTAGAAATGCCAGATTTATTTCCAAAAAATTTCCATTCTGCCCCACTGTGATAATGGCAGTACAAATAAATTAATTTGTTTAAAAATTTTTAGTAAAATTTCTCATATTAACATTATTAAATATGCATTGTGTTTTTACTTTATATATTCATAGTAGTAGCAGTAGTATTTAATATAAAATTAATTGCAAATTCCTAAACTAAACCATGAATTTTGTTTGGCTGCTTAATGAAATAGAAATCAATTGAATGATGAGTTGAGTGTGTGGAATTTTTTGATTACACATAGATTCTACCACCTACCGAGTGTGTTGGTAGACACTAAACTATTCTATGGAGTCTATAGTATAGACAAAAGAAGTTAAGTAACATTACATTATATCAACTAAAAGTAAATTTCGGTCTTTATTTAAAAATATTTTTTATTGTAATTTCTATTTAAATTGGACATTAGATGATCTATTTAAGTCCTAGTTCCCCATAAAAGCTCATGAACAGAATTCATAAAGAAAAGATAATCTTGGAACCTATACGAAGGCAATAGCCTTCCAGCACATTATGATGTTATTTAGGAACTCGGTGTCTAGTACAGAGTTCATCCTAAATCAAACAGTTTAATTTAATGGTTTATTGGCATCTATCTACTTGGTTGGCTTTTTTGTCACGAATGTACTCTTTGTCAAGACGGTCGTCAATCTAGTATCCCATTTGTAAGCGAAAGAGGAGACTGCACTGTCCGCAAGTAATCTAGAGAATAGAAACTTAGAAAAATTGAGCGAACAAGTTCATTGCTTTGTATTGGCTTCTTCGGACTATCTTGTGAGTTTCTCTTTGTAATCTATGAAATAACGATTGACTTCCTCCTAGGACAAGAACATATTAAAATATATAGTCACCGGGGTAGTCTCATGGCTAGGGTTAAACCTAAATGGTTGTACTTTTGGAAAAGTACAAATTAATGATCTTATACTTATAGGAAATTCATATTGATCGGTCTCTTCGTGACCCCTCCCCTTCCTGGGGCATGTTTCCTTGATGAAATCTCCATATTGGTGTATTGCAATCTCGGAGTAAAGAGGTGCTACCAATACCTCTAGTCTGCCGGGACTATAAACTGGTGATGATCAAATGTATCCTCGGCCTTTCCTTGGAATGATTTGACATGGGGTCTAACGTCATGGCAGGTGTTCACGTTAAACTCTCGAGATTCGTGTCTCTTCGTGATAATAAGGAATAGATGGTCAACTGCAAGGAAAACTATTAGGAATAATATTCTCCTGAGGGCCCTATATGCTATGCAGATGATGTCGTAGTACTTCTAAGGGAGAAGTATCCAAATTACTTGTATAGAAGGGCTGAAGGGTCTCTGAATACGGCATTAAGCTGTGCTCAACCGAGAGGCCTGAATATTAACCCGACGAAGGCTGAAATCTGTCTCTTCATAAGAAAGATGAAAATTGCTAATAATATAGAACCCTGTTTCCTCGGATGTTACCGACAGATTTAAGTAGCATACATATGCATCAGTTTGGACAAAAAGTGTAATATCAAACTACTATAGGGAGTTCAGCGTACATGCTGCTTGGATATAAGGTGTGTCATGAGCACTACGTCGATCAAGGCTCTGGAAACGTTGCAAGATATTTCACCCATCCAAACATACATAATATATAAGGCGGTACTTATAGCCGAACTGCTCATAACTTTAGGCGAACTGATTCAAGAAGGTTATATAGTACGCTGAACAAATTGGAAGGTTATACACAAACATCGGTCGTGCCCCATCGCACACTAGATACAGAATATATCGTGAACTTTGAAACACTGATTCCAGATAGAATGTTATGGTCAAGTGGAATATTAGAGCAAATACCAGTAGGAGTTGCTACATGGATGGCTCTAAACTTCCTGACAAACAGGAACATATTACCGTTTACCTTATCACAAACCTAGCCAGAGAAATAACGGAATTCTCAAATTGGATTAGAATAAATATGCCGCGAATAAATTGGCTCTGTGCACAAAAGAATCAGAGCATATAACTTTACAAGCTGCTTTTCCAATGGAAATCCTTGGTGATCCTCGAAACAATTGTTCGTCTTACATTGCCTGCTAGACCTTCTTTTCTGATCCAGGTTCTTTTTTTCAATTTTCAAGTATCCTTTATACAGTTTAATCGGTTTTGAAGTAGTGTGAATCTTCAGATCTTCAGATTTATCTCTATGACAGTCCATATTCGATTTTTATACCCACCATCAAAAAAGTGGGGTGATTTTGTCATTCCGTTTGTAACACATCGATATATTGATCATAGACCCCCAAAAGTATGTATAAATTCTAAGATGATCTAGCCATGTCCGTCTGTCTGCCTGTCTGTATGTTGAAAACGTGATAGAGTCCGGAATGAGCTAGAATTCCTCAAATATTCTCTATAGGTTAGGTTTGTTTGATATTGAAAATGGGAATTATCGGTCCATGTTTTCGGATAGCCTCCATACAAGTAGATCCCCCAAAAACAGCCTTAACGGGGATATATGTTTTGAAAGTGTTAGTGTAGCGATGAAATTCAACATAAAAAAAGTTTCATATGAGCTAAAATCTTCCTTCCAAATTTTATGTGGATCTGTCCATAATTGACACTGCCCCCCATATAAGATCCCCATCAGAAAATGACTTTAACTCTCATTACTGGCTTAATACGAGCACAACAATGAAATTTGATATAAGTTTCTTACGAGCCAAAATCCCTCTACCAATTATACATGTGGATCGGTCTGTAATTGAACCTACCGCCTATAGGACCCCTATATAACTGGCTTAAAAGTACGAGTATAGCGTTGATTTGACATTAGTAAATCTCTTACGAGTCAAAATCTCTCCACCGAATTTTACGCGGATTGGTCCATAATTGACCCTACACTCCTATAAGGTCCCCTTCAGAAAATGACTTTAACGCTCTTTACTGGATTCAAAACACGAGTAGAGCGATGAAATTTGACATTAGTAAGTCTCTTACGAGTATCTACCAAATTTTATGTGAATCGGTATATTACATTCTCTACATTTGTCTGAATCCGCACGTCCAATTTGGTATACACAAGTATACAAGATTACACGAGCGGATTTAGACAAATGTAGATCGTGTGGAGAAGAAATTATGGAACATTTTCTTTGTCATTGCCAGGCTTTCGTCAAAATTAAACTACGGATGTAATATGCTTTGCAAATATTGTAAATTTCAAAGAACTGCATTCAGAAGACAGAAAAAATTGGACGAACAAAGCACTATATAAGATTATTTACACCAACATTTGCAAGTAAAGGAATGCACAACAGGCATGATCTATGGCCTATCCCAAACTGAAATAATCCGATTGAATAAAATTTTTGAATATTTGAAATTCTTCAAGGACAGTTAATACGTGCAAATAATTGTTAAAAAATATCTAAAGAATTTTACTGGCTATTTTGTTGTAATTTCAGTAATCAGAAAACAAAATAATAATTATGCCTAAAAAGAGGCCCCACTCATAAAGGGTTTATTACAAATCTGCTTCACATTAAAAGGTTTTCACATATAATTTCCAATTATGCAAGATATTCTTTGTTTTTTATTTATTTATAACACAAATGGAGACAATATGAGACGTGTAATTTAACACCAAAGAGATTCTCTATTGTTACACGTTACAAACCACGTTTATTTCTTTATAAAATGGTTTGTTTGTAAACAAAGTTGCCGAAATCACGTGCATGTTTGCTGGGAGCAAAACAAAAAACCATAATGAAAACCACGTGCTTTTGTTATTTACAATTTGTTGTTGGTTGTTCATAAAAATTGTTGCTTGTTTTTATTTTTATTTTTATATTTGTTGTTGTTCGGATTTTGCTCTATTTAGGGGAAGGTTTAAATTATTTTAGGCGCGCTTTTTTCCTACTGGTTTAGATAAATAATGCGCAAGTCACTGTTTTCGTTTGGCGAACAAATCAAACAGCAACCCCTAAAATTATGCACTACAACAAATAAACTGAAACGAAGAAATCAACGAACACACTAACGAAATAAACGAAATGATTTTTAACTAATACTAATGAAACTAAAGATGACAATCGTGTTATGAAGAAGGAAGAACAACAACAATAACAAATTATTTGCTAAGGAATAGAAAGAAATGCAAAACTACAACAAAAACTATTAGTGCACTAACACATACATACAAACGTACAGAGCAACAAATAAAAAGGTTGCAACTTGTTTTGTAAAAAAGGGGAAATTTTCAAAAGAGAAGTTTCTTAAGGAAATTAAAACAAATTTTATTTGTTTTTAAGAAAAATTTTAATATTTTTATATTTTATTTAAACAATTTATATTTAGTTTATAAAATAAATTAATTTTTTTGTTTAGTTTTTTTTGTTTAATTTTTTTGCCTATAAGCCTGCCCCCAACCCTTGTTGTTATTGTTCATTATTGTTGCTGTTACAAAGGCAGTTTTTGTTGTTTTTAGTTTTAAAATTTATAACTCTTTCTCTCTGTCTTTCTCTCTTGGTTGTTAAGGGAAACCTACAAAATTTCCGAATTCTTGAATTTTTATTATTATTGTTGTATTTATGTATTATTGCTTTTGTTATTGTCGTTGTTGTTTTCAATACATATATACCTTTCACTTGGCCACGAATGGCAAGTCAGTTGAGAATCTTTTTGTTTGTGTGTTGTTTTTTTTTTTTTAATAACCAGGATGATGTTGTTGCACACAGTTACAGATACCCACACATGTACACATGTGCACTACCATTCATATTTATAAAGAAACAGGATTTAGTTACTAAACGTTAGCCACACGTGCAGCACGTTTTTTAATGCGTTCGCTTACTTCGGCATTTTGTTGTAGAAAAAGAACGCCTGCCTCACTTAACAGTGTAACGGATCGTATGAGTAACATAAATAATAAAAATTATCCGCTATTAAATATTCATTATACGCTCGGTTCGTTAAAATATTAAAAATAAACAAATTTCGAACAAAAATGGATACAATTATAAATTGCAAAGTGTTTGTGACAATTTCAACAAAATAAATCAAAATTAAAGGTTTTTAATAAAAAGTTTTAATCAAGTTGTTGTTAAATAAATGTGTTTCTCGATGTTGTTAAATTGAATAAATGTTTTATTAAAATAAAATATATAAATGTTATTTTTTTGTTAAAATAAATGTTGTTTTTCCAAAAAAAATCTTATAAAATTAATAACTATTACAAAATAGTTTATTACATAATTATATTTATAAATACATGTTCTCGATGTTTTTAAGTTATTTTTATAAATAGTTTTTACATTTTTATAAATTCAAATTTGTGTTATTTAAATATTTTTATAAATGTGTTTTATAAATAATATTCAAAGTTCAAGAGTCTCTTTTATATGTGTTTTTTTTTTAAATTTTAAAAAATTTATAAATTTTTGTAATTTTATTAGTTTTCAAAATATTTCACTTACAAAACTAAATCACTGAACTTTTATCGGTTATGGCCAAGGCTTTTTTAAAATAATAGAAAAGTTTTCGAAAAATATCAAAGCCTGTAGTGCTGCCAAATAAGGACTTTGTTTCGTTGCAAATAACGAATTAAAGTGACTGTTAACTCAAAATGAAGCTCTATAATTAAAAAAAAACAAAATGTAGTTTTGTGAAAAAAGACAAAAATAATTCTCTTATAAAAAGTGCATAATTTTCATACAAATCTTAAATCTTTGTAAGAATTTTTTGAATATTTAAAAATAACATATTTTTTGAAATATTAAAAATTATTCATGATGACGGCAATCAGTACCGGCCAGGAAAATCAGTAGGGAAAAAGAACAGAGAAAAAATTCTTCTTATCTTCGTATTGATGCCTTAATTATGGGACAAAAATTCATCATTGATCCCGTGTGCGCCAATCGATATATTGATGGTCAAATGTCAAATAAGTTTGTGGCATATAAATATCACGTTTACTATTTTATAAAAATTTTAATAGAAAATAACCTTTTCTATATCTTGACTAAAGATTTAACAATTTCCGACCTATAGTGCATTTTTATACAAATTTCATTATCGTAACCTTAACAAAGACTTCTTGTAAAGTTTTCTTTCAATCATGAGCTGCCAACAAATGCTTATATTCATTGATATATTTTGACATCTGAGCTATAGTGTGATGACCGTCTATCTAAAAACTACAATAGGGAAACTTTCCGTAATTATGAATGTACTTTAAACAAAATAATGTGAACTATATTTAGGAAAATATTTCCATTAAATTTTATCAATAAAAAAACTTCAAAAGCTTCTAGCCGTTTTTTATTTATTTTTTTTTTACAGAAGTAGAAGTTTTTTCATAATGAAACGTTTAAGTTTTGAAATATGGATTTCTATGTGGTAAAATAATTGTTATTTATTTAAGCAGAGATTTAGGTCTACATTAAAGTTATTTATGCAGAATTTCATCGTGATATTAGTGTTTATAAGTGAATTTTGACCTTCAAGTCATTTTCAAAGGCTAGGGCCAAATGATTCCCGATCATTACGAAAATCTGCAGTATCATTTAGACTTGTATAAAACTAAATATTGCCGATTTTTGTAGATATACAATAACATTTAACATAATAGGCTTTGTCATTGGGTCAAAAAAATTTCATCAATTTATCTTGAAAATTGCCACCTCTAGCCTGCGCACAAGGTTTATATGGACACATAAGCGGATGGACGGACATAGCGAAATCGACTCGGAGCCGATTCGGATACTTTAAGGAAGGTGTAGGACCAATATTTTTGGGTGTTATAAATATCAGCACAAACGCATAATACCCTCCCCACTATAGTGGCGTAGGGTATAAATATGATCCAATATTTGAATTTCTCGCTATTCTCTCATGAAACGTCCATTTGAAAAACCCTTTATTTATCCAAATTCAGAAAATACAGATTTTTAATTTTGTTTGTACAGTGCAACGATGGGAATAAATTGCTGCTAAATTAAATGTTTGTGACCCACTAATAAAAGATGCTTATAATCCAAAATGGGTCCAATCAATACAGCCAATATCTGCCAAATAAATAAAAGTTAATAACTAAACAAACATTCGTGTTGTATTTACATATCACTTGGAATATTATATTTTGCATTAAATACTCCTCTCTGCAATTAAACTCCATATTTATATTTTAATGTAAATTATCTTTTTAAAAATTAGCTTTAAATTTTTTATTTTTAATGAAACATATGAGTTTTGTTAATATCTCGTTATTATTAAAGTTTTTTACAACACTGAAGCAACAACTCGATTCGTTTCGTATTGAGTAACATCATGAGAAAATGCAGTCGATCACGACTGCATTACACCCCTGGGTAATGTGAGAACCTATAAAAGGATACTTTTTGGTACTTTTTCGTTCTTCAAAAGGTACTTTTTGAACTTTTTATAACATTGAACCTAGACAAATTCGTACTGACTGTTTTTTAACACATCACGCTGAAGGTTATATAAGATTCGGCACAGCCGAATATAGAACTCTTCTTTGTTTGCTTTGTCATTTAGTTAACACAAATTTTATTTGATTGCGAGTTAAGAATTGTGTTTTACAAAAAAGAAAACAGAATTAAATTTTTTTGTGAAACCCAATATTTAGCGCTGAATCAAATAGCTGACCAGTGTTGTTGTGAGTAGAACATTTGTTTAACAAACCAAAGCATGGCTCTTTTTGTTACTGAAAACAAAACTCAACAACTTCTTTGTGAACGAGATTGCAAGTACTTTTTTAACTCCCTATTTGTAATCGAGCGTGGTAAGGACTTGTTTCCAATGTGATCACCGTGTTAAATTAAAAAGCTAATGAAGAAGTAGTGATAAAACGTTTTATTTATTAGCTTTTAGTAATTGTGTTTAAATTAGATTCATAATTACGAAATATCGGACCTTGGGGATAGACGGAAATTGTACTATGGGTCAGATAACGACTCTGAGATAAAGGGGAAGGAAGTTATTCTGTTTCTTAGGCTATCATTAGCGAGAGCTTAAAGTTAAAAATAATCTAATTTTGTATAATCTGAGTGAATGAAAAGTGACACCGTTCGTAAGAAACTGTTCCGCCTGTATGATACTTACTTGATGAGTCGTTTTCGTTTCAGTTTTATGTCATTTATTTATAACATAAAAGAGTGTAAAATTAGAAACATTTCCAGTTTTGTCATAACAATAGGGAAACTGGTAATTATTCTAATTTTACACTCTTTTATGTCATAAAAGCGACTTTATAATGTATTTTCTTTATTTCTCTTTTCTTTTACTTTATGAATTATTATACCCTACAACACTTTAGTGGGGAGGGTATATTGGGTTTGTGCTGATGTTTGTAACATACAAAAATATTCGTCCTATACCCACCTTAAAGTATACCAATCGGCTTAGAATCGTTTTCTGAGTCAATTAAGCTATGTCCGTCTGTCCGTCCGTCCGTCCGTCTGGCTGGTTGTCCATGTAAACCTTGTGCGCAAGGTACAGGTCGCAATTTTCAAGATAATTGGATGAAATTTGGCACACACTCTTTTTTCGGACCAAGGACGAAGCCTATTGAAAATGGTTGAAATCGCTCCATTATTTCACCTAGCCCCCATTCAACAGAACCCCCCGAAAAAGGCTTCTGAGCTCATAATTATGTTAAATATACCTGTATATTGATAGCGGAACAACTAAGTTTTATACAAGCCTTGATGACCTTGCCAAATTTCATTGAGATCGGTCCTCATTTGACCCTAGCTCCCATACAAAGTCCTCTTCTGAAAATTACTTGAAAGTCCAAAATTAACTTATAAACACAAATATCGCGATGAAATTCAGCACAATAAAATATTATGTAAATATAAATATATTTACAAATTTTTATCGGGCTTGGTCCATATTTGCCCCTAGCCACCCTATAAAGCCTCTTTCAGAAAATTATTTTTTCATCCATAAATTGCTTAAATGTATCGGAACAAGGTAATAGAAGATAAATGCTTTATTATGAAAAATAAATCACATTTAATATTCATAACTGGTGTAGGGTATCATATAGTCGGTCACGCCCGACTATACTTTCTTACTTGTTTTAAATTTGCTTTATACTCACTAATCTTTCACTTATGTTTTTTATATATTAAATTTTAAATAAACACAATTTAATACAAAATTTCACAATTACACAACTGATCACTATAAACTTAATATATTTACTGAAATATTCAAACACTTCTTCTTCTAAATTTTGTGAGCAAGAATTGAATTATCTTGTTAGAGCGGGTTTTTGAGATGGCAATCAAATGCCAATTAATAATCAGATTAGTTAATCTAAAAATAAATTTAATCTTATGTTAATCCCCTTTGATTGTTTTTGAGTACAAGATTAAACTTCGCAGTGTTGCCATACAAAACAACAGAAAACGTCACTGTTTGTTATCAAAACAATGCATATTTTATAAAAAAGAAGAAGACAATTGTAAATTTAATATGAAAGTTAATGCAAACTTATATTTAAAACAAAAAAAAAAATTATTTTGAAGTGTCCATAATTTATACACACAGAAAACAGATCGATAGGAAATCGGTTTCCATTATAAATATTTGGTAAAGTTAATTAAAATTCTATCGCTCATATTAAAAAACTATAAATATGAGTGATTTTCTATGTTAAGAACCGAAAAATCATGATTGTAATCAAATTATGGCTATAAAAATTTCCGAATTGGTAATTTCAACCGAATTGTATCTTTTGTGAAATGGTTTTTATTAATTCAGTAAATACAGCAGAATTTTATTTAGCATTCAAACTTAAGAATTCTAAATATTAGTAGTTGTAATCGAAAAATTTGTTAAAGCGAAAATTTTGAGTCAAATAAACCACATACCTTCATTGCAACTAAATATCAATTATAAATACTTAAAAATTCGATTGTGGTTAAAGAACATAAATAAATTCGATGTTTCCAACCGATTGTTGACATTCACAAAAATAATTATTAAAGAAAATAAAAGAATTGTGAATTATGTAAAAATATTTTAAAAAATAAACGGAATTGCGGCTTAATTTTAAAGGATTTAGGTGAAAAGGTAATGTTCAACATAAAATAAAGTTTGTACTTAGTTGCTTTTAAGATTTTTAATGCGTTTGCAGGAATAAAAGCAAGGAATCCAAATCTCCAATGAATTTCAAATCATCCAAAGGAATGTTTTGCAAAAACTAAAGGAAAATCTCTTTTTACGACAAAAATAAAGGTCAGGCATGTAATGTATCCCAAAATCTGATGCAAGAAGTGTTTTATAATTATTTTTATCTGTAAACATTTATATTTTATAAAATTTTATTGTATACAAATAGAATCCACAAATCTGTGTATAATAAATAATATTTCAAGTAGTAATACTGTTAGTTTCTATTTATATTACCGAATTTCATTTTGAAACTATTATGATTTCCATATATTCTATATTGCCAATCGAATTTTTCAGTCATCCCAATAGAATTATGGGATAGTTGTGGGAACCGACTAAATTCGATTGGAAACAAATTCGGTTACCACAACGAATCTGTTTTCTCTGTGTACTAATCAATAAATAGAACATTTTAATGTTTATATTTATACAAATTGTATTAATTTTATGCATCAGCTGTTTACACTTTTTCATTTCGTGCTTCAGTTTAATTTTAATTTAATCGCTAATCTTTCACCTAAAGATTGGCCCTTAGTGTATTAAAAAGTGCTCTTTTTATACACTCAAAAAAATAATCAAGCCATCCGGGCTTGAATCAATCCATATCGGTCTCAATAGTACGGTAATCCCGGTTTGGCTTAAATCAAGTGCAAAATGATTGAATCAATCTAGAATCAGCCAATCACGAAAGTGCTGATTTTAGCGCGATTTAAACCTTTATAGGATCAAAGTGATCTCAAAACATATTTGATTTAAAACAGTTTTTCCTTGATTTAATCTCGAATCCATACTAAAATGAGATCGAAATGATCCAAAATATGATTGTTTCAAGCATTTTAAACTTGATTTAATCCCAAAATCGCGCTTTATTTAATCCTTAAATTGATCGATTTGATCATTTGATATCTCAATATACCCAAAAAGCGCTTGATTTTATCCTAAAATCGCGCTTGATTTAATCCTAAAATTTATTGATTTGATCATTTAAAATGTCAAATTTACCCAAATAGCGCTGGATTTAATCCTGAAATCGTGCCTGATTTAATCCTAAAATTGATTGATTTGATCTTTTAAAATGTCAAATTTACCCAAATAGCGCTGGATTTAATCCCAAAATAGCGCTTGATTTAATCCTAAAATTGATTGATTTGATCATTTAAAATGTCAAATTTACCCAAATAGCGCTTGATTTAATCCCAAACTAAAATAAGTTTTTTATATTTTATTTTATATTTATTAATATTTATTTATACAAAAGAATCATTAATTTTTTAATTAACAAAAAAGTTAATATATTAATATTTAATTCATTCAATATAATATACATTTAACAAAAATATCATACATTTTTTTTAATAAACGAAAAAATTATTTTTTTTAATATTAAATTCATTCAATATAATGTACATATAACAAAAATATGGTTTAGTTTTAATATATTTCGTATTTTATTTTTTATGTAAATAACATATTTAAATAATAGTATGATACATTAAGAGGAAATATTTTTATTAAAATATACGTTTAATTCTAATGTAGGTTTTTCCATTATTAAGTGGATACAAGTGTAAAGGAGGTGTATTAAATTCATTTATATTTTTAATCAGTGTTTTATTTATTATCGAACCAATTTCATATGCTCTAAAATGAGTATCAAAATGTTTAATTGTTACCTTCCTGCAGATTAAAAAAATTTCATTATTATTACTTATGATTATATATATTATTTTATATAATTCAAATTCTCCTAGTTCAAATCTGTCAATTCCTAAATAATATGCTGGTTTATAATGTGTGCCCTTAAATGTCAAATCATCAGATAACTCATATCCTTCCGAACATATTTCTTGTATTTCGTCAATAATATCAAAATATTGTGTCGAAATTTTAGAATCTGTAGGACGTGACGTAAAAATTGGTTTTAATCCTGTTTTGTGTTCTATTAAAAACTTAGAAAATTTAAAACCATTTTTAATTGATATTGAATATGATGGATTTCTCCGAGATGTAATGCTGTTAAAATAGGTTTTTGCGTCCTTGTGTTTAGCTTCAAAGCGCATGCTCCATAAATATTTTAAAGGACCACATTTTTGTATAGCAGTTGCGTAGTGCACAAGAAAGTGGTGTTTAGGTTTTAATGTACCAAAAAGAGTTGTGTACAATTCATGATGCTTGTTTACCAATAATTTAAATTTTTCTAAGTCATTTAGAGAATATTTTGACATAAACAACATATCAATTATGTCCAATAAAATAAGTAAAATTTGCCAATGTTTATTATCAATAGGTACTAAGTCTCCAATCATTAATGGTATAAAATGAATAAAACAAGCTATTTCACTGGCTGTCATTCTTAAATTACAAGATTTTAATCGCTCAAGACTTAAAGGACCAGAAGTATTTCCAATTTCTGTTTCTCCATACGTAAAGAGTTCTTTTCTACTATTAATAGTATTCAATGATATTATATTGTCGTTTATTAACGCAAATAAAACCTTGCAAACATCATACATGCACACGCCTTCGTATATGTCATGCATTACGTCGAATGAGAAATTCTCACAAACGTTATAGTATTTTAAGGTGTTAAATATGCAGGAATTCTTCAAACCTGTTTCTTTGTAATTATTTTCAACTAAATCATTTTCATAAGTAATACTACTTCTTAAGTTTTCCTTAATTTCACAAGCATCAAACTGCATTTCAGACCTCTCTCGTCTACAAACGCGGCAATATCTTTTTGCATTGAAAGATTGAACATAGCCTAAAATGCTGTTAACTGCTAAATTATCGCCAACTATTAAACCCAAAATAAAATGAACTTTACGAATTTCATTACCCACAGTAATTTCTATTCCACATTCTAACAGCTTTAATTCTTCTACAAGAGAGCTAAAGGAACGTTCATTGCCACATTCTTTAAGATTAGATGTAGATATAAATGCAGCCGGAAAAATAAACTGAAGCTGTGATAGAAGATATTTTGGCATTAACGGAAAATGTATATAGCAACCGCAAATGGAGTATGTATGACTTCCAAGGGGGTTGTTTATTTGAAAATCATCAAAGTACAAGATATATGGAATTACTATATCAGACTGAAATTGTTGCATTTTTTTTCTAAAAATTTCTCCGTTTGCAAAACTGCTAAAATTTTCGTCTGATAAGCTGTGTCGAATATTTTCCAAAGTCTCATTAAGAAGATTGGGTATTTCGAAAATCGATTTAAGCATAAATCGTAAAGGCATAATAATAACAAAATATGTTTTAGGTCCTAAAGTGGGATTTCCGTGAAATATTATTTCAGTGATTTTTTCGTCGATAACAATTAATTTTGGGTCTTCATATAAATTTAAATTTTTCAACAATTTTATCATTTTATATTCCGTTAATATATCTTCAAAAGGTCTTTTGCAAAAATTCAAAATAGTGTTTAAATCATTTTTAATTTCACCTTCTTCAAGTAAACTACTAATTGTAACTGCTATAGAAGAAACTAATGAAGTTACTAAGTTTTGAACTTCAATAACATGATTTCTAGGCATTGAATTCTTATTATATAAGCTTAAAGATAAATCAAGAGCTTTAAATTTTAATTCCTGCAGATTGAATGGAAGATTTTGCTTAATTTTAACAGAAGTAGGAGCAGATTGTGTTTTTGGCATGCCAAAAGAATCGTTAAAATGACTTGATTTAAAAGATATAGGATTGTTTTGTAAACAATCATTTTTGTGGACATTTTCTAAATGAATACGAAAATAGGAAAAGTTGGTAAAAGTTTGTTTACAAAAATTTTGCATACAAATAATTTTTAAAGATTGACGAGTTAACAAATGAATTGATTTAAGGTGTATAATTAATAGTGTTGGTGTCTGAATTGTTTTTTTACATTTGAAACAGATATACATATTGTATATCTCAATTGTTTAAATAATTTATAACCGAAAAAATATTAGATGAATAAGAATCAAATTTGGTATTAATTTCAAAAAAGTATTTTTGAATAAACAACCAAGATTGTTCACATGCTATTGGGTATTTTAATGAAAGTACTTGAAATATTTTAAAACAAACATCGAGACTTTGAATAAAAGAATCAAATTTAAGTAAATTTTTGTCAAAATATATATAAAATCCTTTTATATCAGTTCCATTACCTTCCACAATTAAAAACGGCTGGACTGTCAAACCGGCTGAATAATATTTATTTATTATATCCTCCACTCTCCTTTTATAATCATTGAGTGTTGGTAGTTGGAGGACAAAACTTTCCTCCGAGTCTGATATGGTGACCTTTTTCGTTTTTTTCCCGTCGTTATTTTTAAAACGGGCGGAAGATTGAAATATTGAATTCAATAATATTGTAATTATAAAATCTTGATAATCTGAAAAATAATAATTTTTATCAACCTTAGTTTAAGAACAAATATAATATTCAATTTACCTATATTTTCACTTTCTTTCGCCTTTGTCACTAGTTGTTTCGACACTTCATTAACTATGTGTTTTTCATAATATCCAAACATTTTATTTTTAAACTCTTCCCATTTGGAAAAAAGCATTAATTTTTTTCCAGAGTACAAAAAATCGAAATCAATGTTTATCTGTAAAAATATTATTTTAAATAAATTTTTTTTATTATTTTAAATAAAAAAATTTTTTACAAATGAGAAAATGTTTTCATAATTTTTTAAATTTAATTTTCAACAATATTCCGAAATACAATTCTCAACATTTATTTGATACCAGGTTTATAATTAGGCCTGTATTCAGAAAGAAGTAAAGGAAACAATTGTTAATATTTTGAATTTTTCAAAAAAAAAAATTCAAATACTGTTTTGTGTTCTTCTTTCTAAATACGGGCCTTAATTAAAAGGAATTTTTCATGAATAAATATTGTTGAAAAATAAATTAGTAAACATACAAAAGAAATTGTTTCTTTAAAAGTTAAATCAAAAATATAAGTAAATCATAATTAAAAAATAAAAAAAAAAATTACCAAATCGGAAGCTTTCGCATGGCATAGTTTGGGCCATGATTGTAGAAAATCGATGTTATTTAGATTCTGTAATTCCCGGCGACGTATTTTATATGTTCTTTTCCATTTCTCACAAACATCTGCCCAATCTGATGAATCTCTATTTAAAGATGTTTTAAAAGCTGTAGCAACAGATTCATCTATCTCTTCATCTATATGCTCTGATGTGTTTTCTGCTTCGTCTTGACTGGACACAGAGGAATCAAATATTCCACGTTTACGGCGACAGTTTTTATACTTAAAGTATAACTTTCCACTTGGACTGCCTTTACAGCCTCTTGAAATAAAATAATAACCCTTAAAATTTAAAGAAAAAATTTAATTATAACAATGTTTTCTCAAGTTGATAAATTATTTTAGTCACCTGAACTTCTTTTTCTGATGGAAATATCGAGACTATTTCATTTACCAATAACGGAAAATCTGGAACTCTTATTATAATCTGGCTGCACATAACTTCTTCAACTATTATTTTTATAAGGAAATCCCTTTGATCGATAGTTAGCTTTTTCGTTCTGTATTCTAATATCGCCCTTCCGCCTGCCGTTTCTTTTAAAATATCTATCAAACACTTAACGATAATAAACACGGTTAAGGATAATAATTATGATAGAATAAAATATGTTATACCTTATTTAAAACTCTTTTGCCACTGAAACCTTCATCAGACATCCAATTGTCGACCTTCGAATCGACTGAAATCGTTTCGTCATCAATTTCGAACTGTAAAATTGGATTATATAAAATGATACGATCAAGTATATAACACATTTTTTTATGATTTACCTGCTGTTTTTTCCATTTAAAGAGCTTCTCCCGAAATTCAATTCGGAGGCCAAGAGGTGGTATGGCTTCTTTTATTTCTTCTTTTTGAATATATGGCAAGCTTTTGTACGTTACCTTAGCAGCTGTAGAAATAAATAAAACATTATTAATAAAAGCATTATAGAAACATTTTTAATCAATTAAAAAAATGTTTTTAAAAATTTTTAACATATTTATATTTTATTTTATTGAAATTTTTATATTTACTATTTGTTTTCAATATATTGATTTTTTTTAAATGTATTTATTAAAAATTTTAAATTAATTTATATCTTCTTAAAATTAAAAAAATTTGATAATGTTTTCAATAAATTTCCACATGTTATAAAAATTTAGTTATTTTAATTTATATAATTATTTTCTGCATTTTTTATTTATTGTATTTTTTTGTTCACATACTGAAAATTTAAAAAAAATCAATCTCTGATGGATATTGTAAAACAGGGAGTATAACTTCAGAAAATAAAAAAAATTAATTGAAAACAAATAAAAAATAATTTATTTAACTGTTTGTTTGACAATATCGAAACAACATTTTCTTTCTTATAAATATATTGAAAACAAACACAAAATTTAAAATTTTCTACTTGTTTTCAATAGATTTGTAAGAAAGATAATGTTCTTTCTGCAGATAAATGTTATTATATCTTCAATAGGAAATTTTTCAATAATTTTTTTTTTTTTTTGATTTTCAGTAAATTTAGATTTTCATTATTTTTTTTTAATTCTCACTATTTTTTTAATTTTCACTCACATATTTTTAAAATTAAGTTTTTTAATTATAATTAACTTCTTTATGACCACTTGTTTTGAATGAAATTATTTTTTAAAATATTTTTAAACAATTCATTTAGTTATTTAATACACATTCTCTAACTTAAAATTTTTGCAACCACTCTTCGCAAATTATACAACAGAAATGAAAACTAAACTACGCATTTCACAAAGGAATTTTACAATGTCTTGCTATTTTCTTACAATCTCATTTTTTGTTCTCGTTTGATGTGCATAACAACAAGAACTTGTTTTTTTACTGCAAATATTGCATCATAAAAAACACATTCAAACGAGGAGAGCAAGATCAGAAAAACCACCACCAAACACGCAATAGAAAAAAGAAGAGAATAAACAAGAGAGTTTTACTTCTTTTTTTATTACTTGATTTTCTTAAAGATTTTTTTGTCAATGTTTACAAGCGTGTTGTTGTAGTTTTCTTCAATTGCCTAAACACCAAAAGCCGTTACTAATATTAACTTATGGAAAAAAAAAAACAACAACAATACAACAACTTACTTATTTTTCAACAAAATAGAACATGCTGAATGTTGCCAAGCAAGGAATTTATGGTGGCATTTCTGTGCAGGTTGTTGTTGTGTTTTTTTTTTTGCATAAGTTAAAATTAGTAGGGAATTTTTGGTGTATGCATATTAGAGTGGCCCAAAAACAAAACTTTCTGATATTCCCAATAAGCCTATAAGTTAATACAAATTTAGTATCACATGAAAGGTCTTTTAAAGGCGCTTTTAATGCATTTTTTAATTATAATTTCGAATATTCTTGGACTTATTATACCTATATGTCTTTAAAAGCGATTTTAAAGTCTTTTAAAATGATAACAAATTTGGCACAAGAACAAATAGATTTAAAAACATGTTCTTATATTTAACTAAATTTTTTGTAACATTAACTACTTTTTTGGGTTCCCTAATGTATATGTACAGTTACACAAAGTTACGCCAAAATAAATTGTTGCAAGTTTATGGGCTTATGTTAGATGGATACATTATTCTAACGTTTCTTTTATAGGTATTTATCATTAAAATCTAAAAAATACTCAAAAAGTGAATATTTTTATACAAAATGTTAAATTAAAATTTCCATCCCGAAACAAAATTAGACCCCAAACATGCTTCACTTAAAATGAATTCTATAAAAATTTACTTACCTTTTAGGTATTGATATGCCTCCTCTAAATTAAAGCTTTTCAGAAGCACTTGTAAAAGGGAATCGTCATCGTTTTGATCATCCATAATTAATTAATTAATTAACACAAAACAACAAATTGTATGCAACACTACAAATTCTTTAAAACACAACAATGAAACACAACAATGAACTCAACGAACGCACAAAATAGACTGATACATTTCATCCCTTTAAAATAACTAGTAACTTGATTTCAATGTAAAACAGCATAAAAAGATTATTAGAGCGCATGAGAGAGTAAGTTTTATTTCTCTTATTTTCTCTCAGGGATTGATTTAACCCTTTTTTGGTTAATTCAATCAAAATACTGATCAATTTTTAATTAATCCTTTTTTGGAATCAAAATTACATTTTTTGAAATAAATTTGAGCGTTTTAGTGTTGATTTTAGTAATAAAAGGCAAAATTTTTTAAATCAATCCAGATTTTGGATTATTTTAAGCCAACGGCAACAAAAATGGAGTTCAATTTTCAAGCTCGTTTTGTGGCTAAAATTGAGAATAGAAAAGTTGATTTTACTTCGGCGTTTTTCTTTCTGTGTACATTTTTATTCTATCTAATTATTATCATTTACGTTTCCTTTTGGTATATTAATTCGAACTAAACTTTAACAAAAATAGGATAAAAATTAAAAAAATAATGTATATTGTTTTTGTAAATATTTTTATTTAGCGCTAACGAATATAATTTTGAGCCTAAATAGAGACTAGTTAGTTCATGTATCCAAAATTAAACTTAAATTTGCTGGCAGGGTATACGACGTAATATATGAGAGATATTCGCCAAAAATATATATTTATAACCTTTGACCTCCAATATTTCGCTAAGCCTATACAATATTTATGGCTATATTTTAACTTTTTAAAAAATGTGTCCTTAGCATTTAGAAATTACAGATTTATTTTACAGAATTATTATTAGCTTAGTGCTGTTATGCTACAAATACTTTAAACTAAATGAGAATTATATTTCTTTTATAATAGGATTTTTTACATAAACATTTATTAATGAAAGTTACTTTCAATTAATCGTGATATGAAGTTCTTTGTTTATAAATTTCGCATTTTTCAATTAATTCAAATTTGTAATAGGATTTAAACCTTTTACATAATTCTTTTGCAAATGAAAGTGAAACAAATTCTTTAATTTTTTTTTCAATATTCTACTAAGAATTAAGGAAAATTAATTTGGAAATAAACTAAATTGATTACAAAAAGTAATTACAGCACTGAAAGTTTTCCTAGCGGAAATGAAAAAAAATTTGTGTTATTTTAATATTTGTATTGAAAAAAATCTACTAGTAAACAATTTAACCATTTTAAGAGACTCTTGGTCTTTATTCATTGTACATTTTCCAGTTGTTTTAAGTTTAATTTAATACTTAAGTCTACAAGTATGTATGTATGTGTGTTTTAAATGTGTATATTTCTGTGTGTATATGTTAATTTTTTAATATTCAATGTCTAGAAATTTTAATTTTGTTATTGTATTGTTTATAATCGATGTGTTTTAAGTGTATTATGTATTTATATGTATGTAATTTTTATTTTTATAAAGGGTTTATAAATGACTTAAAACTAAAAAAATATTCATAAACAGACTTATATAAATATGTATGTATATTCCTTATGTGCTTTAAATGTATTTTGTATTATTTTATTAAATTTATAAATATGTATGTAAATATATTGTTAAATGTATGTAAATAAGTGTGTATGTATATTATCATTATATCCTTAAAGTAGAAAAACTTTCTTATTGTTAAAAAAATAATATTTTTTTCAAGATTTTTAGTGTTTTATTCTTATTTATCATTACTCTAAATGCTCCACGACCCTGTTTTGGATCTTTTATGCAGTCTATAAGTCTACTATATCAGGTTTTATTCAAGCATGAAAATAACGGGTTTGATTGATGAGAGGTTGAATAGATCCTTCGGAGCTAGTGAAGCAGCACCCAATATTCCAGCTCGACATAATCCTAGCATTGGACAGTTACACAATATGTGTTCAAAGGTTTCTTCCTGATAGACACAAAATCTGCATAACTTTAATATGGCGTTAAATAGTATGAATTGGTAATATTTGAGTGTCCCGTGAGTAATCCCGTTAGTATTCTAAGACCGTTTTTGTTAAGCGATAATAACTTTTGAGATTTCTCCTAAGATAGCCTAATAAAGCGTTCTGTCTGAGCCCTGTTGTAGCTTCAAATTCCGATTCGACCCACGATTTGCATCTTTCTCTGACATACCCTTGTGGGATGCCAAAGAATGGTTCGGGCCGATAAAAGAGCGATGGGCACCCCTGTTTGCTAGGCAGTCCGGACGTTCGTTGCCAGAATGACCTTCATGGTCAGGTATCTAACATAAGTTAATTTGTTGTATTTACCCAATTCATTTAGTGATGTCACATAGTCCATTACGACACCCGACCTGACTTCATATGATAGTAAGTCCTTGAGCGCTGCTTGACTGTCTGACATTATGTATTTGTTATACTCCTCTTGTGCTTCTCCTCACGCACTCCATAGCACAGATAAAAATGGTGTAGATTTCCGCCTGGATTTTTTTCCCATGAAAACGGCTTTCTGGAAGTTAGATCCACAAATACCTTCTCCGGTTTCACCATCTATTTGTTTGGACCCATCAGTAAACAAAACTTGATCAGAACGCTGTTGCCAACATGTTTGATTGATCCATTGGTTCCTGTCAGTTATCATAACCTCAAAGGAGCGGCCAAAAACAATTTTGGTGATCCACAATCATGAACGCGAGTATATGTGTCGTTGATAATAATTTACCCTTCCAAGTCACCAGTTTATAGACTAGCGATTTCGGTAGGTAAATTGTCGATTTGCAAGCGTCATTATTAATAAAGATATTCATAGGTGGAATGTGAAAAATAGCTCCAATGGTAGGACATTTTCGCATGTCCCCTGTAATAGAGACACAGATTAGACGATAAATTTTGTCCAGAGAAGTTCGAGTGGTTGCCTGTTCCACCTTTTCCCACCAGGCTAAGGCAGCATAAGTCAAAATGGGCTTTATTATGATACTAGTGGTGCCCGGTCCGCATTGCAGGCCCATGATTAGCTATGTGGACTCTACCCATCAAATTTTAATATAATCGGTTTAGTGGTTTAGGGGTAATTGACTAAAAATTAAAACTTCTTCACCATCTGTTGGACAAATTTAAAACTTTACATGAACACTTCTCAAGATCCCAGTAACAGATATTTGAAATTTTGTGCTATCAGGTGCCTTAGTGCTGAGTTTACGAACAAATATTACTTTTTTATTTATATAGATTAAAATTCCATGGGATCATATTCGGTTTTAGACCCCACGTACTCCCAAATAGCCTTTGACAGGCATATAATGCTCTAATGGCTCTATTGATCGTACTGAATACATGTGGGTTCCAATTTAGGGTTTTGTTGGAAATGATCCCTAAGTCTTTGACTTCCTTCGAGAACTTAATAAAAACACCATTTAGAGTTTGTTCGATAAGTCCCAGAGATCTAAATCTAGTAAATGGGACAAGAATGGTTTTGAGGGGTTTATTTTTAGCCCACTTTCCTCACACCACTTGGTTGTCGTCGAACCCTGTAATATGTATATATGATAAGGTCGTCGGCATAACCATATGTAGGGAAACCGAAGTCACCGTAGATTGGTAGGCAAATTGAAACTAGTGAATTGAGTTCTTTTGACGATATGTTTCCCTAATGTAATTTTCAAGTAGTTTTTCTATTGTCTTCATTGGAGTCATTCAAAACTCTCGCTCACTTCAAGCGAATCATTGCATGCGGTAAATATTTCCTGGGATAGTCTGGTCAGATTTCTTTAGCTCATCGTAACTGATCCATTTCTATCGCAAGTAATGATTCAGTTCAAAAATGATTTTGCAAAGTCTCTCGGCTTTAATTCATATGGTATCCGATTTCTCTGCTTTTGGATGAATCTTTCTCCTCGCAATCATTTTAAAATTGCTACTTAAGTAGCTAGCAACGATTTTGTAAGCTTTTATTAAGTTTAAAAACAACCTTCATGGAGTAATGACTCCAAATATTGGTCTTCGAACTGTTTGGCGATATTTCGACTTCTGTGTCAAATTCATCACTTATGAAGAGAACAAAACATCTCTCGCCCGTTTAAATCGATGAAACACATTCGCTATAAGCTTCAGAAAATAATCGCCGTTTTCAGCTGAATTTGTTCCAGTTCCGATTGAAATTTCATATTTGTATTATCATCAATCGCTTGTAAATTTACAATTTAACTTTCTTATAAAAAAAATTGGAGCCACAAAATTTGTAACATTAAAATGACTTGACAAACGTTAACTTTATTATTTCTTATATTTACTCGGTTATCAGTTACAAAACGCACACAAAAAAAATCAGTAGCATTTTTTACAGAAACCAAAATTAAAATGTAAAACAAATTATTAACTTAATTACTAAATAAATATTTACTGAAGTAGTAGTAAAACACATAAAATAAATAAACCAAGAATGGACTACTAGATGGATGGATGGGTTGGCATTTACAACAAAATTTTTATAGAAAAATAAATACAAATTTACAATTTACCTTCACTTCATGTCGTCTAGTCGGACATGAAGTGCAAACACATGTGTTTAATATGGCGTTCGGCTTCTATAGTACACAGGGAACGAATGAAATCAGTTATTTACTTATGATTAAAACAGAAATTTAAAGTTTTTATTGTCTAGTCGTGTAGTTTTGCTTCCAAGTTTTCTCTGCTTTCTCTTGTTGCCGACCTTTGTCTTAGTTACTTACAATGTGTGTCACTTATTTGAGGCATGCACTCGCTATTTATCCACTTACACTCACTCTCTTTTCGGATTTTTTATGTAGGACATTTCATTTTTAATACGAAATTTGTTTATATATTAAAGCAACAATAATAACATTGAATAAAATAATTTTTTTTATTTTTTTTTCTAAAATTTATCTGATAAGATTTTGCAAGATTTCTTTGGTAAATATTAAAAAAGTTAAAAGAAAAATTTAAAAATAAAACTGTTTATCTTGACATTAAAATATTTAAAAGATTTCAATGTTTTTCGTTACATTTTATACTTATTTAAAATCTTTTGGTGAGAGATTGTTAAAAAAATTATTTTAATCGAAAATGTGAAGCAAAAATACAATTGATAAAATAAATAAAAGAATGATAGAAGTGATTGAATTTATAAAAAATTTCTATAATTTATGTACATATATATTCTGGACTATATTTTAGTATAACAATAACTATATTCCAGACTATAGATTAGATATTAGTTCATACTATATACTAGTCTATGTTCTAAAGTATAAACTAGTCTACGATGTAGTCCTTAGTCTAAACTATAGTTCAGACAACAGTCTAAACTATAGTCAAAAGCATAGACGGCAGTGAAGACGAGACTATAAGCAAAAGTCCAGACTATGGACTTAAATATAATCCAGACTATAATCTAAATTATAGACTATATTGCATCTATCAATTACCCGAACTTTTTACTTACTCAGATCTTTACAAGAAGATGAGAAATGCAAGAGGAAAATAAAATTCCCCTAATATATCACAACGATTGTTTGGAAACATTTTTAAATGTATGAAATATAAAAGATATTTTACCTGCTTGGTCTACTCTACCGGTATAATCCCTTAATCCTGACAATAGACTAAGTATGATATAGTTTACACTAGGGTTCCTGTCAGTTATAATAACCTCAAAGGAGCGGTTAATAACCAATGTTTGTGACCCACAATCACGAACGCGTCTACGATATAATCCATAGTCTAAACTATAGTTCAGACAACAGCCTATACTATAATCCAAAACATAGACGGCAGTCAAGTCGTGACTATAAGCAATAGTCCAGTCTATGGACTAAAATAAAGCCCAGACTATAATCTAAATTATAGACTACATTGCGTCTATCAATTACCCGAACTTTTTACTTACTCAGATCTTTACACGAAGATGAGAAAGACAAGGTATGAAATATAATAGATATTTTACCTGTTTGGTCTACTCTATCGTTATAATCCGGTTCCTATCAGTTATCATAACCTCAAAGGAGCGGTTAAAAACCAATGTTAGTGACTCACAATCATGAACGTATCTACGATGGCAGTAAAGTCGAGACTATAAGCAATAGTCCAGACTATGGACTCAAACATAGTCCAGACTATAATCGAAATTATATACTATATTGTAGTCCATATTATAGACATGAGTGTAGCCCAGACTGTATCTTCAAACAGTTATTATTTGTCTTAGTTATAGCGGGACTTGTTTTAACAAGAGTTCAAGTGATATTTTATGGATGATGAAATCCGTTTGACGTCTATCAATTACCCGAAATTTTTACTTCATCAGATCTTTCCACAAAGATGAGAAATGCAAGAGGATAAGAATGTTCCTCTTATATATTACAAGGATTGTTAGGATAGATCTTTAAATGTTTGAAATATAATTGATATTTTACCTGTTTGGTCTCTACCGGTGGAATCCCTGATCCCGACAATAGACTAACTATGCTATAGTTTAGAATAGGGGTTTCCACCTTTTTTTCTTCACAGACCCCTTGCGGTATTTATTTAATCTCGAGGGTCGCCATATTTTTATTCCTATTGATTCTAATATAGGGTTAAGGTCTAGAAGTTGTGATACTCGTATTGACTTAGACCAGGCCGAACAGATAAATATATACTTGGGATTTATCATTAGAAGAATTTTTCCGGACAATGGAACACACTCCAGCTAAGACTTTTTTCGAAAGTTTTTTATCTTCAAGCTGTTAAAGTTGCGAAGCTGTTAAAGTTGCGAAAACCAAGTTGGAAGTGGATTATAACTTCATTTATAATTATAATCATAATGCCCATGAGTCATAGGTTCCATGGACGCAAATTTTGATAAAGTCCATGGATTTCAAAGAGTCGAAATAACCCAGAGTTTAATGTCCATAGACGTGTCACAATTGTCACAACGTCAATGGACTTCCATGAAAATTATGACAAGCCACCTTACGACGCAAGTTATCCGCATAAAATATTGATCCCTTAACTTTATTTCCCCAAACTTCCGTTTTCTCAATTCACATCCTTTTGTTTATTAATTACAAAAAAAATCAAGTTCTTGATTGCAACATTTTCCGTAAAAAAGAAGAAAAAAGCTTTTGACGGGACAGTTATTTATATCTGATGAGAGAGGGTTAACAGATGCTAACTAAAAATAAGAGATTATAATGATGAGCATCTTCATTATCATCTTCACTATTACTTGCATACAAAGATTATTGTTTATCTTTGTTATCTTATAAAATAAAATAACTTTTTTTTGTGAGAATTGAATATAAATTATAATGAATACAGTGCATTAGAAAAAAATAACAACACTGGCAACAATTAATTTTTAGTTGAAATGACTTTAAAGTAAAAAAATAGTTTTTATAAAAGGTGGAAGAGTAAACAAATAATTTAACTTTAAGTTTAATACTTTTGTTCCCCACTGTATCTTAAGTTTGTACTTAGTTTTAAGATAAACGAATGAAATGTTTTCAAATTTTAAGAAATGTAACGAAAAAATATTTAGTTGTATAAAACGTGTTATTGAAGTTAAGTCGCACGTTTTTTAGGTTTTGGCGAATCACAAGCCTATTTTCTTTAAATTTACAGAGAAGTTTTAATAAAAAAATAAAAATACTAAATGTTTGAAAAAAAGAAATTTAAATAATATCGTTTAGCTAAACAATTATGTAAGCTACCAAGTGAATAAAAACACGCGTTTCTAATTTTTATTCGCAAAAGAAAGTGTTTTTTTTGTGAAATAATTTGTGTTTTTAAAAAATAATGGCCGGTTATCGTTCTCTACCGTTGGCTCCTGTTTCTGCCACAGCCATGGCTGCGGTAACGGCCCAACCGAATGGACCGACCATGTATCATCATCAGTCGATGACGGCTATGTCAAATAATGGTATTATCTATCAATCGGCGGTACACGCCTCCATACACAGTTTAAATACAGTACAAAATCAACGCTCAACTACTCATCATATTTTAGCTACAGCAACGGCCACAGCGGCAGCAGCAGTAGCAACTGCTACGGCCCGGCAATATGCTGCAACTGGTTCAGCAACAGCGCCACCGGTACCACCACCTCTACCCACGGCCTCCACCACCCACCTAGGACTGGGACATCAGCAAGCCCAGCAGCAACAACAACAGTTACAGTCGTCACAACAAAATGCGCACCAACATCAGCAGCAACAACAACAGCAGCAGCTGGTGCATCATCAACAACGTTCGGTAATGCAGCAACAGCAGCATCAACAACATCAGCAACACTTGATGGCTGGACATCATCCTCACCATCATTTAGCCCAACATCCCCATCACCCGCATCATCATCATCACCATCATCACGCTCATCCGCATCATCCTCATGCCCATCAACAGATTGCTCTGCATCAGAATCTCTTCTTTAGTGGTACCAGTTTGGCGGGACATGCCCATCATCGCCAGTTATTTAGTCACATGCAAAGTGCCATTATGCCTCTGGGTGTTAGTAAGTACACATATTTTCTTTAGTTTTTTTATAAAAAATTTCAAGATAAAAGTACTATAACCATGGAATTTCTCCAGATTTATTTTAAATTTTTTTCATGTTTTGGGGGATTTTGTCAAATAAATATTTGCTTAACTTGTCACAAAATAAGAATTGTGTCACAAATTTGTTTTGTAAATATTTTGGTATACATTTTTGAAATTCTTTTATCTAAGAACATGATGTTATTTAATTTCTTTGATTTTTAATTAATCATAAATATATATTTAGAAAATACTTAATAAATTTAAACAAGTCCATCAGCAAAACATGTGTTTAAAACTTATAATTAATTTCGAAAGATAAATTATTTCAAAATTTATTATAACAAAATGCTTTAAACGTCGAAAGGGGTGTTAAAAATGGAATGGAGTTATCAATGATCCCGTGTTAATTAAGTGAGATATTAATCAAAGGTTATACAAATCAGGTTCTTTCCTTACCTATATCTCTTATTAAACATTATACGAATTTATATGATTTTACTATTACTTTATTTCTTTTGGACCTGAAGGGTATATATAAGTTTGTCATTCCGTTCGATCCCCAAATGTGTATATATTCTGGAGCCTTATAGATAGCAGAGCCGATTAAGCCATATTTGTCTCTCCGTCTACTGAAGTCAATTTTCTGAAGACCTCAGATATCTTTGGGTTCTAAATCTTCAATAATTCTATCAGGCATGCTTTCTAGAAGTCTGTAAAATCAACAAATTCAATCCATAAATAACGGAAAAAATCCGAGACAAGCTCTGAAAATTTAGTCAAAAAATGAGAAAACGCATTTTACTATCTATGGCCCTATTCTTATTTAGTCGCTTATTTTGAGAGATTTTATATTGCTCCGAAAAAAAATCAAAATTAAGCTTAGTGTTCTGCGTAGATCAATAAAATTATAGTTTTAAAAGTCTTCGTTTAAAGTCGTACTAAATTACAGAAGTGCGACTAGTAATACCTCGACTAATTAGGGTAATAATGTAATCATTAGTGATTAAGTTAGGTTGTATGGAAAGAGCGTGATTAAGCGAGAACAAAAGCCCATTGTGACTCCCTCATTTGAGTGGTCGTTTAACTCATATGGTCCCAGAGAGAATCTTCCGGTACTTGAAACTAATTTTACTTTGATTTTGGTCAATTCAAATAATCTTAGCTCTTGTTAAAACATTTTTCCAAGGATGATTGTGTTAAATGAATTAGTTCTGGGCGAAATGACGTAAATGCTGTACGGAAGTTCGAGCATAAAGTTCGTCACACACATAGACCCTAAAGTAATTCGTGGCTGATCTTTCACATAGGTTATATAGGATAAGCGTGATTAAGCCAGAACAATCATAAAACATTTGAGTGGTCTTTTAATTCCTATGGTCCCATAGAGAATCTTTCGGTACTTTAAACTAATTTTGCTTCGATTTGGGACAATTCAGATAATCTCAGTCTGAGTCTTATCGAGAAGGGCAATGAAATAAAATATGTTGTGTCTAGCATGTATTCCTAAGTATAACTATTCTTGTCCGTATTCGTTTACGCATTTCCCCGAAAAATGATTCGATTTTCCACATGCACAACTTTGGATAAACTTTTTTCCAAGGAAAATGTTGTAAATTGTGATTTTCTTTAAACATGAGTACTGGGCGAAAAATAGAGCTGGAACAAGTAGGAAACTATAGTCGGACATGGCCGACTGTATTATACTCTACACCATGAGTATATTTTAAAAATTATTTATTCAGAATAACTTTCTGAGTCGTTTAAGACATGTCCGTCCGACTGGCTGGCTGTCCATGTAAACCTTGTGCGCAAGCCACAGGCCACAATTTTCAAGATATTTTGCTAAAATTTGGACCATACGTGTTTCTTTGGCACAAGGACAACGATGTCAATTGAAAATGGTACATTATTTGACCTAAATTGTGGCCTGTAGCTTGGGCACAAAGTTTACATGGACAGCCAGCCGGACAGACGGACGGACATGTCTTAATCGACTCAGAAAGTGTTGAGTTGATCGGTATACTTTAAGGTGGGTGTAGTACCAATATTTTTTTGCGTTACAAACATCATCTGTCCCATTTTAGAAACATACTTATTTTCGCCGGTTCTTATATTGAAGATTTGAGAACTTAAGATTTGCCCATATAAGTATTAAGTTTAAAATAATACTACAAGCAACATGTGACATATTTTTTTAACATACAAAACAACATTTTTTTTAAGCAAGACACATACACAAACAAGTCTTGCAGTACTGAGGGACAAATCAATGTCCTAGTTTGAAAGGAATTGAAATCTTTGATAGGAAATAGGGTCTAGTAAGCATTTTTGCTTTTGCAAGTTTGCCTTGCTGTAGTGACAAAAGGTCGTACAAGTCACTGTTTTCATTTAAAAAGGTTTTCAGAATATTAAGAAGGCTGTAAGAATATTTGTGACAGTTGTTAGAAAGTCGGGTTCCGATCTGGTCCTTATCATCATAGGGCAAAAGGTCGGGTAATGTCACAAACTGGATTATAGCATTTGTGGGATTATTAATTGACCTGGGCAACTATCTGAGGCCCCAATCGGGGCATAGAACCCTTCTTTATCATGTAACTCCAATATGATATATTAAGATCAGTTTTCAAGGTTATATTGTCTTAAGTAGGAGCCATATCTGGAGTCAGTTGTCCATCAATTGTAATCGAAGTGTATTGGATGAAGAGTCAATTGTCACCTCAATCTGTAGGGTCGAAAACCCCTTTTTGGAAAGTGTGTATAACGAAAAGAAATTTAACACTCTTCCTTTAAAATCCTTTACATACGTACGATGGTTAACCAAAAAAAATGATCACCATCAGCAACTAGAAACAAAAAACAGATTTTCAATAGACCACAGAAAATGATTGCAACCGTTAAACAAAAAGCAACAAAAAAAGGACAACAAAACAAAAGTTATGCTTCTTCTTTAGCATTTGTTGTTTTATGTAGATTTTTTTCATTTGTTGTTTTTATTGTTTTGATTTCTATGTTGACTTTTGCTTCATGTGTGTGTATGATGGGGTTTTGTCCTTAAATTTCCCTAAACGTCTGTCTATCCTTCCGTCTTTGACGTCATCGTCGTCATTACCGACCATAAGTCTGTCTCTCTGTCTGTCTATAACTTTTGCTAAAGTCTTCTTTAGTTTGTTGTTTGGTCTCACTATATACATTATTATTTTTTCATTCCTTTAAATTGTTGTTCGGTTGTGTCAATGTGTCTGTCTGTATTGTCGTTGAAATCGTTTTAGTCGAAATATGTTTATTTTTTCCTTATTGTATTAAACATTTATGTGAATGTAAGTGTATGTGTGTGTGTGTGTGTTAAGGTGTCGTGTGTTTTCAACACACCAAAGAATGTTGCAAGACAATGTAAAGTACGCGTTTATCCGTGCGGTAACGATGTGTGAATTACAGGAAAACATTTTAAAATAAAATTTAATGAAATGGAAGAAAATGTCAAAGTAGTCAGAGAAATAGATTCACAGAAAACAATCGCTTACGTATATACTTTTGTTGTTAGGAATAAAAAAGGAACTTTTTAAATAGTTGTCTTTTAAAGCAATAAATAGGAACCACTTTTACGATCGGGTTACTTAACATTTTTTTCCTGGCAAGTATTTCAATTACAAATACCAAGTTTATTTGCATACTTTAATGTTTAAGGTTAATAAAATTTGTTGAGAGGGTGCAAGGGGTCATATAATTAACTCTAACATTAATTTATTTATTAGCAATATTATCAGAGAACATGTTTATAATTATTTAATTTTAATTAAATAATTATAAAACAAGTGTAATATAGAGCGTAAAAAGAATTAAAACCCTTCATTAATGAACACCGTCGGTATTTTGAATGCCCTATCAAAACCACAATATTGACTTCTCTACACTAAAAAAGGTAATTTTTATAAAATTGTCGCCCTATTGTACCTTTACTACACGGACAAATTGCTCTACTAACACCTAGTTTATATGGGTACCAGGCCACTCGGGAGTAAAGGGAAGGGAGCTCGATATAGTTAACCTGACGAACGCAAAACCATTTGACGCAACAAAAGCTGAATTAAAAATATGGTTGAGAGAATCCCATAAGGCCTCTTGAAATAATGAAACGGTGGGTAAAACCACAAAGATCCTATGGGGTGACCCTGATGAGAACAAGACGAGAAATATCCTCAAAATGAGCAAGTCTGAAGAAGTCTGAAGTTAGTATGATGGTATGTATTCTGAGTGGACACACAGGCTTACGAGCACATCTATACAAAATTGGCCGTGAGGATTCAGACGAATGTAGAGCATATGGAGAGGACAGCGAAACTCTGGAGCACTTTCTTTGCCACTGTGAAGCATTCGTCGAAGTTAGATCCAAGTATCTTGGAAGTGATGTTATTCCGGAAATATCATTCCTGACAAACACTGATTGGAAAATTCTTAGGAATTACGTCCAGGAAACTGAGTTTCTGAACATTAGAAAATAATATACTCAGTGAACAAACAGGCCCGATAGTGGCCTAGATGTATTTCTTCTGATTTGGTGTACTATCAACCTAACCTAACACCTAGTTTGGTGTTAGTTGAGCAAGTTTACCTTACTTGGGTCCATCAATACTATTCCCTTTGTAATATCAAAAATGAGAAGTAACTGCATATTAGTATACTTCGACCAAGGTTATGATTCGTATCCAAACAAATTATGTACATTGAAGCAGGAATCATTCAGATATTCATTATGGACTAATCTTTCCGAAAGTCTAAAAAGGGTCTACCTACCTAGTGAACACATGCTGTGTTGCACTTGTTTCACGGTTGTACTTTTACAACCACAGGGTGAGCTTATTAGACGACTTACCATCGCAACTTTGTGCATCTACTGGTCCCTGTACAAGTACTTTTTTATCTGACCATTGCTTTACTTCCGAGAGACAAAAACATCACTTTTTCATCCACATGGTAAGCACTACTGCCCTGAATCATACACGCCGGTGGAAATTTTTATACATGGTTCTGCGGGTCCACGTACAAGCACTTTACTCGAGCTATC